ATGCCTGGCTATTTTTTTGGTTGCAGCCATTATTGTTGTTTGGCGGGCCTGGGCTGGATTCGAACCCGCCACCTTAGGTGTATATGGCTGGCGCCTTAGCCACTTGAGCCACAGGCGCCGAGCCTTGGCACTTTCTAAGTGGTTTGATCAAATGGGACCTTGTGAACCCTCAGCTAAGGTAGTTAATATAGTTCAGTGTAACTTAAACAGAGCCTCAAGGATTAGAACTTACTACGTAAAACCCAATTAATAAAGGGGTGATTAGCCCCACTCCTCTCCATGTAACAGCCTCTTTTTTCTTTCTGGGCAAACTAAAGGGCCCTAATGATGAATTACTACAATCTTAATAGTGTGATCCTAACAATGAAAGCCTCAATACTTAATATCTAATATTATTAACATTGCTGCTTCTATTTAGTCAGCAACTGGTAAATATACTGCTCTTTCAGATTCTCTTCGGGTTGGCGTCTATTCCAAAAGCCTTTTGGCAGCAGGTTGCCCCCACCTCTGACAGGACGTAGTAAACCTTACTAGGCCAGCCATGGGGCAGCCTAACAGCTTTGTGACCACAAACATTTACAGACAAGATCTCCCCAACATTCCCCTTTTCCTATGATATTACATTGGTAGCCTTCTCTTCCAAGGAGACTCAGTCGACACATTCCTTAAAACCTTATAAGTCCAACATCTCTTAGTACCTTTTGCGTTCTGGTAGCAACATAGTCCTCATTTACTTCTACATTAATAAAACCAACAAGCACTCCTGGGGGTACTCTCAGAAAATTCCTTCAAGTAGAGGCTTTAGCAATCTTTGGAAAGGCCTCCTGGAGTCCCTGGACCAGTTATGTTAGCCATTAGTTGCTCCAGTGCTTCTGATGCAAGATACTGCCTCCTTGGCCTCGTGCCAGTCACAATTAAAATAACAAGTGACCAGATACCTACTGAGCTCTTCTGGAAACAGAGGCTCCCACAGACTCCAAGCCTGTGACCCTTCATACCCAGCTGTCTGTTAGCATGATAGAGGCTGGGTTCACTTGGGGAAGACTCTGGCAGTTACAAGTAGAGACCGCAAATTTCCCTCTTGACCTTCATCAAAGAGACCTGTAGACAAACATTCAGGAAATTAAGCACTGGGAAAAGGCAAATACTCCCATCTTCCCAAGTAACAACGCTGGTTATGAGCTAAAGCTATTCCCTGACCTACCATCAGATGGAGCTTCTTGGACTCATAAGAGAAACGGAATTTTTCCAGAGAGTGCCTCATTCTGGAATCTTAGTAACAAAGACTTCTTGTGGTCATTTCCCAGACTCTAGGTGTAAAATGGAGATTAATATCCTCACCACCTGGCAGAATCCTCACACTGACCTCCTAAACCATAAAGTAAGAAATATGTTAGGATTAGACAAGTGGAAGATCCTTCCTCTGTCAAAATAGGAAACCAAAAGCAATTCTGGATTGCCTAGTTGAATCACAGAGATCGATGCAACCACAGAAGAGTAGAAAGACATAGCAGTGGTGATTTCTGTTTTATTCCCATTTAACTCTTCCATTCAGTCAGTGCAGAAGATGGCAGGGTTTGGGGGCATAACAGTGGATTGTTTAGCCTTATTCAGTTTATTGAGTTGGTGATGGCAAATGAGCTCAATATCTCATTTCATATCCCAGACGCGATCTCCTTGCTGGAGCCAGTCAGTGTAGCTCCTGAACCCTTTTACCTTCCCTTCCCTTCTTGGAATTTGATCTCTTTCCCCAAACCCCAATAATCAATGTTCACAACTTGTGGACTTCTCTTCAATAGTATTTTTCAAACACTTACGGCTACATGCTTTTTAAAATTTCACAGGTACAGAATAAGTTCATATTTTATATGTCTTTTTGTATCTTTTGTCTTACTGAAAATATTTCCAAAGTACTTTTCATAACTCTTTCTAAAATTTAATTTTAAAATTAAAATTTGGGTGGCACCTGTGGCTCAATGGAGTAGGGCACCGGACCCATATGCCAGATATGGCAGGTTCATACCCAGCCCCAGCCAAAAACTGCAAAAAAAAATTTTTTTTTCTTTCTTTTTTTTTTTTTTAAGAAACAGCCTCTTGCTGTGTTGCCTATGCTGGAGCACAGTGGCATGATCATAGCTCACTGTGTCGCAAACTCCTGAGCACAAGCAATCCTCCCACCTCAGCCTCCCGAGTACCTGGGACTATGGGCACACAATACCACATCCAGGTAATTTTTCCTAAGATAAGTTCTTGCTGCATTGCCCAGGCTGGTGTCAAGCTATTGGCCTCAAGCAATCTTCCTACCTTGGCCTCCAAAAGTGCTGGGATTACAAGTGTGAGCCACCACGCCTGGTCCATGTTTTTCTTTCTTTCTTTCTTTCTTTCTTTTCTAATTTTTTGAGACAGAGTCTCACTATGTAGCCCTCAGTAGAGTGCTGTGGTGTCACAGCTCACAGCAACCTCAAACTCTTGGGCTCAAGTGATCCTCTTGCCTCAGCCTCCCAAGTAGCTGGGACTACAGGCACCCACTATAATGCCTGGCTATTTTTTTTTTTAGAAACAGTGTCTCACTCTTGCTCAAGGACTCTCAAACTTGCTCTACTCTCAAACTCCTGAGCTCAAGAAGTGCTAGTATTACAGGACTGAGCCACTGTGCCTGGTTTGTCTGTTTTTCTATTGAGTTATATTTTGTCATTTTCTCTCCCACCTTCTTTCCTCCCTCCCTCCCTTCCTCCCTCCTCTGTTCCCTCCCTCCCTCCCTTTTTTCCTTCCACTATGAGTAAAGGAGCACCACTAAGTCAGTAATTAATTCTGAGCAACATATGTGGACAATATATCACAATGCAGGTTGTAAACCTACTATCTGTGAGAAATGCTGTACCAAAGATCATTCTTGGCATAATAGATAACAGTCCTCAAAAATCTATTTATGACCTAAGCTGAACTTAGTGCTATAGTCTGAATGTTTGTGTCTCCCCCAAATTTCTATGTAGAACTCCTAACCTCCAAGGTTATGGTATAAGGAGGTGATTAGGCCATAGTGGTGGAGCTCTCCTGAACGGGATTAAAGCCCTTATAAGAGAGCCCAGGGGGACCTTTGTCCTTCTCCCATGTGAAGACATAGCAAGAAGGTACTGCCTATAAGCCAAAAGTGGACCCTCATCACACACCAAATCTGCCTTGGTCTTTGACTTCTTGGCCTCCAGAACTGAGGGAATAAATTTCTATTGTTTATAAGCTACCCACTTTACCGTATTTTGTAATAGTGGCCTGAAGAGATGAAGACACTCTGCTATTTTCTTTTTCTTCAGACAGAGTCTCATTATGTTGCCCTTGGTAGAGTGCCATGGCATCACAGCTCACAGCAACCTCCAGCTCTTGGGCTTAAGCCCAAGGAAGAAGGAAGGATTCTCTTGCCTCAGCTTCCCAAGTAGCTGGGACTATAGGCTCCCCCCACAATGCCTGGCTACTTTTTTTTTGTTGCAGTTATCATTGTTATTTAGCTGGCCCCGGTCAGGTTCAAACACATTAGCTTGGGTGTATGTGGCTGGTGCCCTACCCATTGTGCTATAGGTGCTGCCCTGCTATTTCCTTCCTTCCTTCCTTCCTTCCTTCCTTCCTTCCTTCCTTCCTTCCTTCCTTCCTTCTTTCTTTCTTTCTTTTTCTTTTTGTAACTACCTTTTATTAGGTTGAGGAAGTTCCTCTATAACTAGTTTGCTGAGAGCTTTTACCAGGAATGGGTGTCTAGTTTTGTCCAGTGCTTTTCCTGCATCTATGGAGATGATCATATGGTTTTTCTTCTTTAATCTGTTGATAAAGTAAATTACAATTGATTAACTTTCAAGTGTTTAACCAGCTTTGCATTCCTGGGATTAACTCCACTTGGTCTTGATGTATTGTATCATTTGTATATATTGTTACTGCTGTGTCCTAGCTCACAGCAACCTCAAACTCTTGGGCTCAAGAGATCTCTTGCCTCAGCCTACCAAGTAGCTCGGACTATAGGTACCTGGCACAATGCTCAGCTAGTTTTTATAGACAGAGTCTCGCTCTTGCTCATGCTAGTCTTGAACTCCTGATCTCAGGCAATCCACCCGCCTCAACCTCCATATTGTCACATTTTATTCATTACAATTTGATTGAGGATCTTTGCATCTATATTTGTTAGGGAAATTGATCAGTAGTTTTCTCATAACGTCTCTGTCTGGGTTTGATATAAGGATAATACCAGGTTCATAAATTAAGTTGGGAGGTGTTCCTTCTATTTTCTGGAAGAGTTTGTGTACATTTATGTTATTTCTCCCTTACGTGTTTTTTGTTTTTTTTTTGAAGGTGGGTTTTTTTATTATAAAAGAAAAAAATAACTCCTCGGCAACCTTAACAAAGGAAAAGAGTATTTTGCACTGGGAGAAGACAACAGGATACAAAATCACAAGTGTTTTTGCCACCAGCCCTGTTTCTGTCTCCTCCAAGAGCAGAGGTGAAAGGATACAGTTGAAGGAAATAAGCAATTATGTAAATTACTTAGAAAGCCTACAAATTTGATTAAAATCTAAACTTCTATTTTGCACTTAAAATTTTTTTTTTAATATATCAAAAGGCCTGCTTTAGTGACACCGCTATTCCCACCAGAAAATAACCCCAATACGTGTATATCCCCTCTGTCGGTAACATGCTCAAGGTGACCGGCCAACTCATTTCTAAACCCGTGTGTGGACAGGTACATGTATCTTGCAAAACAGAGCCTGGGTGATCAAGTGACCTTAGTTAGCCTGCATCTGTCTGTCAATTTACCAGCGCCCACTTCCTCTGGTGGGTGGGCAGGGCAGAGACCCTGAAATGGTAATGAGGCATTAACTTCCATTTACTAACTTTCTTTTTTTTTGAGACAGAGCCTCAAGCTGTCCCCCTGGGTAGAGTGCTGTGGCATCACAGCTCACAGCAACCTCCAACTCCTGGGTTCAAGCGAGTCTCCTGCCTCTGCCTCCCAAGTAGCTGGGACCACATGCGCCCGTCACAATGCTCGGCTATTTTTTGGTTGCAGCCATCATTGTTGTTTGGTGGGCCCGGGCTGGATTTGAACCCGCCACCTTAGTTGTATGTTGCTGGCGCCTTAGCCACTTGAGCCACAGGCGCTGAGCCCATTTACCAACTTTCTAAGCACCACTTCCCCCACCTCCTCCTCCTTGAAAGGAGATACTTCTCTTTCTTTACTTTGGCTCCCTGTGACCCAGATGGTTTTCACCTTTAGAAACACGAACAATCCACACACCCATATATATAACTTTTTTGTTTTCACATTTAAATATAAAAATACTACTCTGCTTTTTGTTATAAAGGAGGACCAAGCAATAAGATCCTTTTCTTCTTTTAAGGTAGGGATATCCATGAGTTTACTCTGAGCTCTGCTGAGGGGAGGGCATTTAGCCCCAAGCAAGGGAAGTGTGGCCTGAGATGAGGGCATTTCCCTCCCTGATCGCCAACCTCTACTCTCTCTAATTCCCACTTACAGTAGAATGTTGGTTATAATCTCTTCCAGCTTGTCCACCAAGGGAAGTCCTAACCTAGAGTAAGCCAGGTCTTCCCTTTTCCGCTAACCTGAAGAAAAAGTCCTCCCCCTCCAGCAGACGTGCTCTGCCCAGATAGCTATGCCTACTGGACAAGCTCACCCCATTAAGTGGAAGTAATGATTATGCCCCTCCCTGCCCACTAGCACACTAGAAAGCTTCAGTGTTAGGGAAAAAAAAAAGGAGGGGGGTGCAAAGAGATTAAGAACTTGACCCCTCTCTTGACCAAAGAAAACAAAATTACCTGGGCATGAGGAATTAAAAAAAGACCTTGATATTCCACCCTTCTGAATTACAATTGGGACAATTGGGGGGGTGGAGATTTGGAGTGGGACGGAGAACCAGAAGGGGCTCAATGGCTGAAGTCTAGTCCATTTAGTTTTTGTACTGGAAGGGTTCATTGCCAGTTTCATTGAGAAGACATGTGCAGATGAGGGCTTCCATCACCAGGAAGGGGTCGCAGTTGGCATAGGGATGACAGTCTTCAAAGTAGCCTCTTCTCCTGGCCAATGGTCTGGGGAATGTGGATGCTGGCACTATGGTTGGCTACACCAGCGGAAAAGTTGTTGATGTTGGAGGTTTCGTGGAATCCAGTTGGGCACTGGGCGTTGTTCAGGCCCTCCTTGGGATTGTAAGTGTGAATGTGGTACTGGTGCCGCTTGCTTAGTTTCTCAATGGCTTTCTCAATGTAGTTCAG